GTTAAGAAAACAAAAATCCTCACCACTGGACCAATAAACAATATTCTTATCAACAGAGAAAAGATTGAAGTTGTCAAGGACTTCATTCTTCTTGGATCATCTATCAACACTCATGGAAGCAGCAGTCAAGAAATCAAATGATGTATTGCATTAGGGGAATCTGCTGCACAAGACCTTTTAAGTGTTGAAGAGCAAAGATGTCAGCTTGAGGACTAAGGTGTGTCTGATCCAGCCATGGTATTTTCCATAACCTCATATGCACGTGAAAGCTGGACAGTGAATTCAGACATATTGTCAGAAGGGACCAGTCACTGGAGAAGGATATCATGTTTGGTAAGGTGGAGGGTCAGAGGAAAAAGAGGAAGACCCCCAACGAGATGGATTGGCCCAGTGGCAGCATCAATGGACTCAAGTGTGGCAACAGTAGTGAGGTTGACCCAGGATCGGGCAGTGTTTTGATCTGCTGTGCATAAAGTCACTATGGGTCAGTACTGACTCAATGACACCTAACAACAACAACAACATGGACAAAATATTGAATGATGCACAAAGTATCATAAGAAGATGGAAGGTGCACACAGAGTCACTGTACCAAAAAGAATGGTTGATGTTCAACATTTTCAAGTAATATATGATCAAGAACTGATAGTACTGAAGGAAGAAGTCCAAGTTGCCCTGAATGCATGGCAAAAAACAAGGCTCCAGGAATTGGCAGAATAAATACTGAAATCTTTCAACAAACTGATGCCAAGAAATTTGGAAGATTGCTATCTGAGCAACTGATTGGAAGGGATCCATAGTTGTGCCCATTCCAGAGAGGTGACCCACCAGAATGTGGAAACCATCAAATAATATCGTTAATATCACATGTAAATTTTTGCTGTAAATTTTTTCTGAAGACAATTCAAAAAAGTCTGGAACAGTGCAGTGACATAGAACTGCCAGAAATTCAAGCTGGATTCAAAAGAGAACATGGAACTAGGGATATCATTGGTGGTGTCAAATGGATCTTGTCTGAAGGCAGAGAATACCAGAAAAGATGTTTACTTGTGCTTTACTGACTATGCCAAGGCGTTCGACTGTGTCAATCATGACAAACTGTGAATAACATTGAAAAGAATGGCTATTCCAGAACATTTAATGGTGCTCATGAGGAACCTGTACATGGACCAAGAGACAGTTGTTCGAAATGAACCAGGTTGACACTGCAGGATTTAAAATTAGAAAAGGTGTGTGCCAGGATTGTATTCTTTCACCACTTATTCTAACAGTATGCTGAGCAAATAATCTAAGAATCTGGATTATATAAAGAATGTGACATCAGGATCAGAGACTCCTTAACAACCTGCAAGATGATACAACCTTGCTTGCTGAAAGCAAAGAGGACTTAAAATATTTGCTAATAAATATCAAAGACCACTACCTTCAGTATGGATTACACCTCAATGCAAAGAAAACAAAAATCCTCACTACTGGACAAGTAAAGTAAATAACATCATGAAAAGTGGAGAAAAGATTGAAGTTGTCAAAGTCTTCAATTTGCTCAGATCTACAATCGATACGCATGGAAGCAGCAGCCAAGCAATTAAATGACCTATTGCATTAGGCAAGATATCAAGAGCAAAGATATCAGTTTGAGGATTAAGGTGCACCTGACCCAAGCTATTGTATTTTCAGTAGCTTCATATGCATGTGAAAGTTGAACAGTGAATAAGGAAGACCATAGAAGAATTGATGTATTTGTGTTGTAGTGTTGGAGAAGAATATTGAAGGTACCATGGAGTGCCAGAACAAAGAGGTTTGTATTTTAAGTACAGCTGGAGTGTTTCTTAGAGGTCAGGATGGTAAGACTTTGCCTCTCATACTTTGGACATATTATCAAGAGGGACCAGTCCCTGAAGGCATCATGCTTGGTAAAGTGGAGGGTCTACGAAAAAGAGGAAGACCCCCAACGAGATGGACTGGCACAGTGACAGGAGCAATGGGCTCAAGTGCAACAGTCATTGTACAGATGACACAGGACCAGGCAGTGTTCCATTCTGTTGTGCATATGGTCACTATGAGTTGGAATCAACTCAACAACACGTAACAGCATTTACCACCACCCCCCACCAAAAAAGTACAAATCCATGATTTTGTAAATAAATAGTGGTGATGTTTATACACATGATGTATATAATTATGATCAGGAGAGTCATATTCATAATATTAACCAAATGCTATTTGTTTTACAGGATAATCCTTCAAAAACAGCATCAACTATCCGAGGCCATTTCTATATCACTGGGGACAAGGGCTATATGGATGAAGATGGGTATTTCTGGTTCGTTGCAAGATTGGATGATATCATATTGTCCTCTGGGTAATTTTCCTTTTCATGTCTGCAGATGGCTTTGTTAATGGACTATCAGGGTTCCGCAGTGAACCTGCTGTATGCTTCATTTTCCAGTTACCGAATTGGACCATTTGAAGTAGAAAGTGCCCTGATTGAGCACCCTGCAGTTATGGAATCAGCTGTTGTCAGCAGTCCAGACCCCATCAGAGGAGAGGTAAAGGATCAGATTCATCTCAACTTTGTAATTTGTTGGCGATCTAACACACACTTTCTAACCATAGTTCACTGAAATGGTATTACCCAAATGATTGAAACACTAAATTACAAGTCAGATAGACATTCATTTACTAAATAAACAAGTCAGTAATATGCAAGTCAGAACCACTAAAGATTAAGACTAGACACTCTAGACTATAAAAAATTTGATGTTTTTTCACACAGCCATGGCAAAGTTGGTGTGAATGCCAACAACCTAGATGAGTGACAGACTGACATAGTCCATGGTATAGCCAAGGATAGGCTGGCATTAGGGATCAGGGATAGGACAAGGTCAGACACAGGTTTTGAGGCAGTCAGATGCAGGCTGGGTAAGTAGCTAAGTAGAAGATTCAGGAAATGAACTATGAACATGACAGGAGTTTTGAAAGTCTACTTTTTTTGGTGTTGCTCCCAAGGCAATTTGGGTTTCTATGTGCTATACTGGTTTCTTACTGCTCTTAGAAAGGATATACAAATGGGTGGGCTCTAAAGAACAGATACTTATTTTCTTGCAGTTCAGGATGCAGCAAACCCAGTGTGACAGGGACGAGGGGAAGCGGAGCCACAGACCTAGAAAGTTGATTGGAATGCTACCCAAGGCACTTTACTTAGTGTGCGGACATATTTCCAGGAGAAAGCTTTATTGAAGGAGATAAAATAAGAAGCCATGAGAGCAGAGATGATTACAAGCAGGTCAGAAAGTGGAGTCAAGATGTAGTTAGATGAAGGCATTCAAAAGTTAGATCACAAAGCAAGGGTTCCAGAAACTCTTGTGTTTCTAGTACAGACAGGGAGGTACTAGGGTCAGTGGGCTAATGTAAGATTATATGGCTGAGACCAAATCCCAGTCAACACTCTGGTCCACCCTACCAGGCACTTAGACCCTCATTTGGAGAAGCAAATAAAACATCTCAAAACATAAAAATACACAACGTATGTTTCTGGTATTTCAATGATTTATTTTAGGTAGTAAAGGCTTTTATTGTTCTGAATGCTGATTACAAGTCATGTGACGAAGAACAATTGAAAAAGGAGATTCAAGAGCATGTAAAAAAACTGACAGCACCTTACAAATATCCCAGAAAGGTAGGTGTTCTACTGATGATAAGTATTTGCTCAGTGTTCTGGGACGTTTTCTGCTGTTTTACTGTTGTGCCAGGTTCAACAGACCCAGACCAAATACTCAACTAGTGCAGTGCTCACAAGAGAAGAGGCAGAACCAGATCAGCTTCAGTTGTGGGCATCAGTCTCCCATGGCCAGCTAACATCCCCTCACAACCAGAGCATGGAAGATGTTCCAAGTGCCGCAGCTGGAGACTCCATCCATCCTCTCCCCACCATGGGCAGATACAGAAGTGGGGTTGGCCAAGTTGTGCAGGAGACAGAGAAAGTTACTGTGGGCCTACAACAGGGACGGAGGATTCTATGATAAGAGACTGAGAAAGCATGAGACCCAATTCCCAGCCTTCTTATCAGAATGTTCTAGGCCCAAGGCCTCTGCTTAGACAGCCCAGGTGGGAAGTGTAAAGGCAGACCAACATCAATGACCATTCTCCTCAAAAATGCTATTCTAAATATTCTAAGCTGAACAAATAACAAATGGAGAAGAATCAGAAACTTTGAGTTAAACCTCTAACTGAGTATGTTGGGTCATTTGGGTCAATGAACATGAATAACAGAAACCAAAAAAATGTCCTCAACAGTACCCCTTTCCCTTTTGGGTTATTACCAAAAACTGATCCTATGTGTCCTAACTCTCTCATCTGGAATTAATCTAGAGTGGCTGTATAAATTGACTTTAACTAAACATGAAAAGTTCTGGGCTAATTTTCTTCCCCTTAATACAACAGGTAGAATTTATTCACGAGCTGCCAAAGACTGTCAGTGGGAAGATAAAAAGAAATGAACTGAGAAAAAAAGAATGGGGAACAATTTAAATTCATTCATTCCATTAATTATTACAGTGTTTATAAACCAAAGAGTCTGTAAAACCCACAGGATTGCGGAAGGATGCTCAAAAAAGTGGTGGTATTTATGTTTATAAATGATTGATGCAAAATATCTGTGTTTCTGATATCAGACTGTATTTGGAAATAAAACATTCTGTAAGTGCCTCTGTATTAGTGTCACTTTCCTTATGGTTTTAGTAATATAAAAAGAATGCCATCAATTGCTGAAGAATTAAAAATTGAATCTGAACCAAATCTCTGTACTTGTTGGTTTGTAATTCTCCCAATGTACTGATTTATACGTCAAAATCAATCTTCAAGCTTCCTAAAACACTGTAACTATTTAAAAAAAACAAAAAACAGGCAGAAGAATTTGGTCTGGGTCAGAAGATTAAGGTAGTCCTTAAAGTACAAGCATGTACCTGAAAACAGTAGGTCTTTGGACATGCACAACGTATGGTGTTCATAAACCATGCACACAGCCCTGTACATACGTCTCCTGTGCACACTATGCATGCCACGTACCTGTACAAGTGATTCAGTTGGATGTGTTACATGTGAAAAATATCACAGTTCAAAAATACTTTAAAATTTATTTCAAGGTCTAACTATCAAAGGATGTTTTACACCATTGTTTCTTACCATATCTAACCTGATAAACATAGTTTACAAAATTGCATGTGTGTCCTCAAGTAATTGTGACATATTCCTCAAATGTTAATATAAAAAACATAAATGAAACAATGTATGATATTATCAAAACCAAAAATCAAACCCACTGCTAAGTCAATTCCAACTCAGAGACCCTACAGGCCAGAGTAGAACTAGTCCACAGAACCGGTTCCAAGGCGGTCATCTTTCCTGCTGCCTGCTCTTCCTCAGAGCTGCTGACAGTTGGCAGCTGAGCTCGTAACCACTGCCCCACTAGCGTCCCTTGAAGACATTATCAAAATACTTCTAAACCAGTAAATGAAATGAGAAGTTCGTTTTGTGTTTAGTACACATGTCAGTGTGCTTTAATAGTCCCACTGTACTCTACCAAACACAGATTACGTCCTCTCAGTTCTCATCAATCTACACACTCTTTCCCTTTACATTAAAAACCACATTAAAGTAAAAACTTAATTTAGGTATACAGCTTATCAACTCCTCATTGAAGGTCTTAGTTTCAACACATTTTTAGTAGAAAAACTTCTATTTCTGTTAGAAATAGGGCTTTTTTCTGTAGAACTAAAAGCGTGTCCCCCAGGAGAATGAGACAAAACCGTATTGTTGGCTCTCTCCTTCTGAAGTGCCTGTTCCCATTTGAAATAACCACATTGGTTTTTGTTTTCTTGGTATTTTCCAATTGGACAACAATAGAAGACTCTTCCATGGTTTGGTCCATTATTAGAAACAACAAGTCTCTTAGATCTCCGGCCACACTTGCATAAAGGAGGGGTCATCTTCCCACTCACCCAAGGCTGTTGTAGGTTCACTGTAGACGTTAAGACAGAGGGGA